TTGTGCCCCAGCAGATATTTGGCAGTACCTGGTATCCGGAAATGTTATTGGTTATCACACTGGTGCTGGGGAGAGATAACCAGGAATCCCGGGTGCTGCTAAGTAGCTTACAATGCGCAGGGCAGACCCCACAGAAAAGAACTATGTGGTTCAAAGGTAAATAGCGCCAAGTTTAAGAAATCCTGATTTAGAATGAAGCTAGTCACTGTTGAGTTTTGCTTCCTTCTCATCCCCCACTTGGAACTATTAAGTTTATAAACTGAACTGAAGAAAACTGATGCCAAAAGAGTGATTCAGATTGTGCTGTGGGTGCTGAAAGAGTAAGTGGGGGATGTGGTAGGAGATAACGGGGCAGGGGTGCCACTGCCCTTGATAAGGTGGTCAGAGAGAAGCCTCTCTGAAGAGGGCACTTGAGATAAGGCCCCAGGAAGGATGGAGCAGCCTGCCATGGGACTAGCCTCCAGGCAGAGGAGACAGCATTGGGAAGCCCTGGAGTTTAAAAGAGGAAAGAAAGCAACCACATCTGGTAGGAACTTTCTAGAGAGAGAGAACTAGTGTATTAACTGTAGTGCAGAGCTGTATAGTTGTGTTTCTTTTGGCTTCTGTTTTAATTACGAAAACTTCAAGTGCTTTGTGGGGAATGGTCTGCTGTAGTTAGTGCCTCTGTGAGCTCACTGTGAGCTCAGACATGCCGCAGACCGCCGGCCAGGAAGAGCGAGTTCCTCTCCAGATGCATCGCCAGTGTTGAAACCAACATGCAACGTAAGAGCTCACTGCCACAAAATTCCACCAGAAATATCACAGACACTGGAAGTAAATTACATTTGGTTTCTATGTATTAAATTTCTCCTTAGCTTACTCAATGAATATCTACAATATTTAGTTTGAATCCAAGGATTGCAATAAAAAGTAAACTGAAAGAAAATTCTTTAGCTTTTAACCTCCTAAATTCTGATCGTAAGACTCGCAGTTTACTGTTCTAAATATATTTATCAATTACTTTGAAATAGTGCCTCTAGAATAAATCAGTAGCATTTTGGACCAAGTTGTATAGAATCGGAAAGTTCTTTTATATATATTGTTATCCTTTGCATCAGATTTATGTATTCATCTGAAGCTTAGAAGTCTTATTATTCAGAACTCTTTTAGATGCAAATGACCGAAACCCAGATCAGCTAAACAGGTAAAGGGAAAGTTGGTTGAAAGAAATGAGGGTATCTTAAAACCTGAGGAAAATCTAGCAGCTAAACTGAGGGAAATGGCAGCTGGAACCTGGAAACGAATGGAATCACAAACCAAGGACTTGAGGACACCTCCTGGGGCTTTCTGCATGGGGCCTCTGTTGTATTACATCCGCTGGCGTCATTCTTATGTGACTGCCTGGCTGCTGGGGGGGTGGAGTGTGTGTGTGCAGGAAACAAGGCTGCCACTCCCTCCAGAGCTGCTTTCCGCCGGCTCTGCTGTTGGAGCAGATCCTCTAGCTCTGCCATGGCCATACCGCAGCAGCAAGTAGATGCCAGGCTTCCTGTTACCCCCCTGTCAGTTTAGGAAGCCTCTGCAGTGATGTTTATTATTGTGGACATTGTACGGATGAGTCGTGGAGAAGTCAGGAATCCTGACTAAAGTCCCAGAGCTGGGAAGTGACAGAGTTAGGGTTTGAATCCAGGCAGTCTGACAATGGACCAGAACCAACAATCAGCCACCATATCGTATTCATTGAAATCAGCCACACCGAGGGGATGGAAGGTTTTGTTTTGTTTTTGGCTGAAGAGTTAAACAATGCAAGACTAGGATGTGGTTTTACTTTTTTTGTTTTTCCTTATAAAAAAAAGATATGACCGCTGATAACATAATGAACTGTTTTCAGATCTTTGAAATGAGACACACATGGTATGGGTGATGGCACAGCATCTTTCATGGGTGCATGGGGCTGCTGTTGTACTACATCTGGGGTTCCCAACCAGGGGCGATGTTGCCCTGGGGCATTTGGCAATATCTGGAGTTATATTCAGTTGTTCCAACCTGTTGTGTGAGTTACTACTGGCCTCTAGTGTCTACAGGGCCAGGATGCTGCTGCTAAGAATCCTACAATGTGAGACAGGCCCAGTTTTAATAGTGCTGAGGTTGTGAAACTGTACTAGATACACTGGGCCATTTCAAACTTAGGGTCTATTAAGGTCGCCAAAGGAGGTACGCATGAGGCCAAAAATGGTAAATAATTATGAATTTATTAGGTCATCTGGAAACAGGTGGGCTGAACCCCAAAATGGCGCCAGCAGCTTGGGACCAGGGAGTCAGAGATTTTAAAGGACACTAGGCGGGCTTTTTCGGAGGGGAATTCTCTAGGCAGTCTGGATCCTGGGCAAGTCCAGAGGAGAAAGATAATGGTCTCAGCAAATGGAATGTGGTCTAAGGAAAGGGAATGTTGTGAAATGGGCTAAAGGTCAGTTTCCCAGGGGAGAGGATATCATTCCATTATTTGATCAGATCTAACTGTCTATTTGGACTGAAGAGGTAAGAAATGCTAAATTTTTGAGTACTTGTGGAGAGTGAATAGATCTGACCAAGTATGAAGCCAGGTGAGAAGGGGTTAGGGTCACATTTGGCTAGGACGCCTCGAAAGTAGGACTAAATGGTGAAGGGGAGATAAGAAGGTGGAGCAGACAAACATGGCTAGTTTGTGTTTCCCTGAGAATCACCTGTGGCTTACAAGTAAAAAGGTAAGGAAAGGAATCTCTCCCTCCTCTCTTCCTCCGGCACCTCTTAATGGTCTCATAGGACTAGGGCAGTGGTCGGCAAACTCATTAGTCAACAGAGCCAAATATCAACAGTACTTCTTCAAAATAGACTCGCCCAGGCCGAAAACCGACTTCTGCGCATGGGCCACGAAGTTTCAGTTGCACTGTACGTGCGCCCGCACGTGGTATTTTGTGGAAGAGCCACATTCAAGGGGGCAAAGAGCTGCATGTGGCTTGCGAGCTGCAGTTTGCCAACCACAGGACTAGGGTAATCTGTTGTATATTTGGTCTCAGTTCTAGTGAGAGAGTTTATGTATTTGGAAACAGACATTCCATATATATATGAAACCTTTTAAAAAGTAAAGCTGTGAAATAGGCTATTTCTAAATGGTTCCTAAAACTTATTGAATAAATTTAGTAGCCAGTTTGAAGTAATCGTTTGGATGTGATTGATGATTTTGGAACAGTGTTTATATTTTCCTTACTGTAAAAGTTTGGTATTATTAAACTTTTTATCATGTACTAGAGGCCCAGTGCACAAAATTTGTGCACAGGTAGTGTCCCTAGTGGCTGCTGGCTCCCAGCCAGGGCCTCCCTTCCTCTGCTGCCAGCGAGGGCCTTCCTTCATTCCACACCTCCCCCTGGTTGTCAACACACGTCATAGCGAGCGATCTAACTCCCAATTGTTTGAACTCCCAAGGGGACACTTTGCATATTAGGCTTTTTTACATATAGATAGATAGATAGACAGACAGATAGATAGATAGATAGATAGATAAGAGAATTAAAGCTTAAACAGTTCCCTCTTAGTGTTTATCTCAGCTAATCCATTTGTGTAAAACATTGTACAAACTATTTCCAGTGAACCTCTATGTCATAGGGATTTTGATATAAAAAATAAGACAGATCTCTACCTCTCCCATTGGGAGATTGTTTTGAAAGAAAGGAGACCCTTCATTATTTACCGTATTTATGAATAAATTAGATTGTCCTTAAAATTGTCTAAGAAATGTGTGTGTCAGTCCAACAAATAACTGTTATACATGTACTGTTATTTCCTCTTTGTGGAGTTTAAAGTTAGGGACATAGGCCATTGTCTGGGGAGTAGGTAGAGGAAGGGGTATCAGCACAGGTGGCCAGAAGTACTGACTCTTTTCAAACTTCCTGTGTGGGGATGAATAATAAGATGTCTCCTTTCATTGATTAAAAAATATTGTTGCTTTTATGTTTTGTTTTATTTGTATTTTCCAGCAGTTCCATATTTGGAGAGAAAGTGTTAAGATTGGGGGTGGGGGAGTGTCTGTGCACTGTAGTCTGACTTCCAATAGTTACTGCCACTTCCAGGTTTGAATCTGGCTTCCTGATGGTCCTGACACCGCCCTCCACATC